TGTATCAAACAGTGTTTCTTTGATATTCATAAGGTTTTCCCTGGCCAATTATTTGAGAAGTGGACGGACTCTTCCTTCTTCCTAGTCTGTCTCAGTCTGTAAGCTGGGATGATACTTGTGCACCATATGCATCCCGCTGGGTTAGAAACACCAGTGGCTCAGCCTCAAAACTCACATCAACGTGTCACCATGGTAGGACAAACCGACAGACAAGCTTGCCTCCCTGTTGGAAACCTCTCGTACTACCCTTACCTGGGTCCCTGCGGCTGACTCCCCTACATCTGCTAGGCATCCTTATTAGGAATGTAAATTCTTTAACTCTACCCTTTTCTCCCAGTATAATTAGCTCACTTCCTACTTTTCATCTGTCTTTATGCAGGCTCTATTTCAAAATTCACTCATACCACTAATCTTTTGATAACATCATCAGCCCTTTATCTTCTTCAGACTTTCTACCCACCATAGCTTGGGTAAAATCATATACTGTGAAAGAAAAATGTATAAATTTACACACTCAAACCAGCACCTCTCAATAATATACATGTCTCTGGCCAGCTTCCTTTCTCATTTTTTCAGGACAGCCATTCCAAGGTTTTGTCATTTCACATTTTTAAAAGTGATTTCTTCAGTCTGAATCTAGTGTATGTTGTTGTTGTTATGTGTCATGGAGTCGGACCCAACTCATAGCGAACCATCCTTGGGTTTTGGAAGTGATATCACTACGGAAGTAGATTGCCCAACCTTCCTTCCAAGGAGTGGTTGGTGGGTTTGAACCGTCAGCCTTCTGGTTAGCAGTCAAGTGCCTTAGGCACTATGCTACCAGAGCTCCTTTAGTATATAGTATATTGCTTTCAGCCCCTCCATTTCTTGTCCTCATTTTTGATTTCCTAGCTTACCTATATCAACTCACATTTCTATCTACTCTTCTTCTCAGGCAAATGGATATATTTATACCTTTCCAAAGCTAAGCCTGCCATCTATTCTCTGGATCAAGAACTTAACACTATCAATAATTGTCTCTCTTTTGTTTGTTTTTTTTCCTAAAGTAATATCACCTTTCCTCCACTGCCTTTCCCCTCTAAACAGATACATGATAATATGTTTTGGTCTTGCTTACTTGACTAATGAAAACTTTCTTGGATCTTAAGACTTTCTCTATTGACATAATTATAAAATAGCCACATGCCTTATACCAGTAATCTGTGAGTCAAAAATAGATTCAACAGCAGTGGGTGTACTGTAGTTTCCATTTTCTCATCTCATTCTCAACTTTCTTTCAAATGGTTTCTCTCTCCACCAATGCACTAGAATTGATCTCCCAACCAAAACCGAACTCACTGAATTCCAACTCAGAGTTACTTTATAGGACAGAGTAGAACTGCCCCATAGGGTTTCTAAGGCTGTAAATATTTACAGAAGCAGACTGCTACATCTTTCTCCCACAGAGTGGCTGGTAGATTTGAACTGCTGATATTTCAAGAAACTTGATTGTGTTAACAGAATGTGTGGAAAGGTCCATTAGAGTGAAACAGTTCAGAAATCAAGAAGAAAGTTTCAAATAAATTGAAAGTTCAAATACCTGCAAAGATGGAAGGAGATTGGATGAATAACACAAGAAAGAGGTTAGCTTTGAATAGTAGAAGAAACTTGTTCATAATGAACCTAGAAAGGGAGGATGAGTACAGACATAAATGTATGATGTTGTTGTTGTTATGTGCTGTCGAGTCAGACCCGACTCATAGCGACCCCTCCTTGGGTTTCCGAGGCAGTAACACTATGGAAGTAGATTTCCCCATCTTCCGTCCTAAAGGAAATTAAAAGAGTTCTCATATGATTGCTTTCATTTTTTTTCTGGTAAGTAGGAAGAAATTTCATATGCTAAGGAAGATAAGGATATGGTAGGTTAGATGGTTTTAAAGAATGTAATGAAAGTTTGACATAGATCCATAAAAGCTGCATTAAAGAAATGTGCAATATGTTAAGTACCCAGCTGTTATCATAGGACATCAGTTTACAAGACTACAGGATTTCCTTCAGCTGTACTCAGCAGCTTGTATCTAAGAACAAATAAAGTGGAAAGTCAGACTGCTTTGTGGTTGAGGTGATTAGGATAGATGTGAAGGAAGTAAAAAGTGGTGAAGTCATTGAAGGTGCTTTGGTAGAATGGTGGAAATATTAAAATGTGGATTCTAGGTTGTGTAAGTTTGAAAGAGAGACATGGGGGTGAGGGTGATGGACTAAGAGAAATTTGATAAGAACAGAAGCTGTCTGTGATATTGAAGAATGGGTTTAGTGGTAAAATTGGAAAGATTGGAATCTGTAATTAGAGATAACTATGTATTGCAGATACCTGTTTGCATGTCTACTAGTGTCTGCCAAAAAAAAAAAAAACCCAACAAACTCACTGCCATCAATTTGGATCCGACTCTTAGTGACCCCTCCTTGGGTTTCCAAGGCAGTATCACTATGGAAGTAGATTGCCCAGTGTTTCTGCCAAGGAGTGGCTGGTGGGTTTGAATTGCCAGCTTTCTGGTTAGCAGTCAAGTGCCTTAGGCACTATGCCACCGGAGTGCCTATTAGTTTCTGGAATGAAGAAATAATGCTCTCTTCAATTTTAACTTACCTGTACTTTGCATAGTATCTGGCACATAGCTAGTAATCAATAAGTAATTATTACATGAAAAAATAAGTGAATAAAATAAAGGTCCTCCTGGAGTTATTGGGAGCTCTGGTGGCATAGTGCCTAAGGCATTTGATTGCTAACCAGTAGGGTGTTGGTTCAAACCCACCAGCCACTCCTCCGAAGGAAGATTGGGCAATCTACTTCCATAGTGACACTGCCTCGGAAACCCAAGGAGGGGTCGCTATGAATCAAATCGACTTGACAGTGAGGTTTTTTTTTTTGTCCTGTAGTTATCACTGATTCTATCTACCCAGAAAACTATAGTAGTACTTTTGTTAGCTCTTGGACAATTGCTTATAAACCACATCAGGGATATTATTAGAAGCCCATGAATCATAAGGAAAGACACTTTCAAAGTATGGGCTCCAGAGCTAATTTCCTGGATTAATATCCCAGTTCTGTCTCTTAATAGCTTTTAATGTGAGCTTAGACAAATAATTTGATCCTTTTATTTCAGTCTCCTTATCTGAGAATTACGATTAGTAATAATACAAATATGTTTTACGTTATTGTCATTACAATTGAATGAATTAATATTTATTAAGAGCTTATAACAGAACCTGGCACATAAGTATGCTATAAAAAGGTTGTTAAATATATAACATATTTAGGATCTTGGAACCAGATTAAGAAAGTTACAAGATCATTTGGGTTTGGTGTTGGACTCAGTTAACTGTTTCTTAGTGAAAGAAGTCTCTTAAAACTAAGGTCATAAATATTCCATTTCATCTCTTTATTGCTTATTATAAATTGGATCTCTTCTCCACTCCCATTCCAGCTTCTCATAAAAATAATGATTTAGCACTTCAGTATTTTAATAAGACCTATTAGATATCAGTATAATTTTAATTACTTCAGCTGTAAAGCATATTTATGCCTTTAAAAATTGTCAGTCTTGAGGAAATTGAACTAATTGGACATTTAAAACCATAGAGAAAATATCTTCTCAAAAATGGAACAGGCAGGTTTACCTGGCAGGCATCCACTTTTCCATCCAGTAACCCGGCACACAACATTCCAGGTTTGATGTCACCACTATAAACCTGTTTATTGTTGCAGGTCTTATTATCTATAATCTTCACTAATCCTTTTTGGAGTATATTAGGACTTCTTCCTGAAGGAATAAAATTAAATATTTTTTTTGCTAAAGTCAATATTAATCTTTCAGTCTAGGTTATTAGTATTTATCTTTTTATCAATGTAGAGCATACATTTTTAACCCAGCTTTGTTATGTCTCCTTCCTTAGCAATACAGATGCAAATAATTGTTAAAAATGACTATACTTGAAAGTACTTAGTGTGCATATCTATAGGTGATGAGATTTTTTTCCTTTTGAATTGTTTTGGAATGTTATGTTTGTTACGTTTATGCCTTTAAAAGTAAAATGACAAATTCAAGTTTTGGAAGCTTACATTTTATGATTGCTTTCAAGATTTTCTGCTGATGTTGTTACTGCAACTCTGAATCTTTGAACTAATTTTAGGTTTACTTTTCTGTTTTCAAAAGGCATATGTAAGCATAAGTATTCAATAAATCTTTACGTTATTGGGGTCATTTGGATACACATTTAAATGATCTTTGTTCAAGTATTATCTCATCACTGAGGACTGACTACCCATTCCAATCCATTAAAAATTACAGTCCTCATTCCCATCTGCTCTACCCTGTATGCTCAATCCTTTGTAGCCTCTATCGCGTGTATGTTTTTCTATAGCCAGTATGTTTTATGAGGCTACAACTATCTGCCTGTTTTCTTCACTATTGTATCCAAGACACCAAAAACAATGCCTGGCACAAAAATAACAATCAAAATAAATCTTTGTTGAATGATTATTGAATGAGTAAATTAAATAGAAGAAAACAAATTACTTATTCAAATAACACTTCTGTAAAATAGCATTTTTAAGAGAAATTACTGTAATTAACTTTATGAAATATGTACCTTCTTTATGAATGTTGTTGAGTAAGTATATTTTTCAATCTGTTGCACATTTTCATCTTTAAAATTATCCACAGGAACATTTCTGAGATTGGTAGTGATTTTGAGTTTTTTTTTTTTTTTTAACTCCTAAAATTCAAGTCAAGTCATGGAGGAAGATTAGGAACTCACCATCAGATTTTAATGTTCCCCATCCAGTGACTACTGCATCTGAATTGGGTGGGAATATATAAGTAGCTTCTGGAAGGCATGCTCTTCGAATGTTGCTTGCATATAATACTGGTGAAGACAGATGCACAACAGCAATGTCATTATCATGTTCAGGATAGTGGTAGTTTTCATGAATTATAATATCCTTGACACCTCGCTGTGTTTTTGGATGATTTAGAAGAAGCCCAAAACTAACATTCCATTCTTTCGGATCATTGACGCTAAAGAAAATAGATTTATTTATTAGTAGTCCTGTGTATTGGAGAAATAGAAATTCAACTCTTAAAATTTTTTAAACAAAAAGGTTTTGATTTCCCATTGTGCTTCTAAGCATACCAAAGTAAAACTATTTATAAGTGAAAATATAGAAATGATAACAAGAACAAACTTTGAATGTTTTAAAGAATAACCATGGAAGCTACATTTTATTCCTTGTTTTGTCCAGAAACAGCTTTGAATAATTTGTTGTTGTTGTTGTTATGTGCCGTCAAGTCAGCTCCAACTCATAGCGACCCCTCCTTGGGTTGCCAAGGCAGTATCACTAGGGAAGTAGATTGCCCAACCTTCCTTCAGAGGAGTGGTTGGTGGGTTTGAACTGCCAGCCTTCTGGTTAGCAGTCAAGTGCCTTAGGCACTATGCTACCAGAGCTTAGGAAGAGAAATATTACATACATAAAACAAAAAGATTAAATAAAAAGTGGGCAAGAATATGGGACAAAGTGAACTTATGTAAATTAAGGAAATAGTCTAAATCCTTTTTATAACCATCAAAAAATTCTAAGTAGGGAGATACTACTGACTTTAATTATTATAGATTAGTCAAGAAGTTATATGTAAGTGCTGAAAAGTAGTGCTGTAGGAACATTTTCAAATCCTCTGCTAAAGTGACACAATAAGCAAGTATGTTTTGAAGAGAGAACTGAACAAGTTTTAGAGGGATTCTTATTGTTTTTTAAAAATAAAACATTAACATGCTATACAAAATGAACAGAAGTGAATAAAAAGAGCCATGAAACAAAAGAGTGGAAAATCTTAGGTGGAAAAAAGAAGTAAATATTTTGTGCAAGAATAGATGCTTTAGAGAGATCATCATTTCAAATAGGGCTAGAACATGTATCGGAGGATGCAGGATGATTTCAAACACTTGAAGACTAAAGAAATTAAACCAAATGAAATAACAATGAGAAAGAAATAGGACAGTTCCGTTCAATTTGAGATTTCTAATTTCTTTATAAAATGGAAGTAATTAACTCTAGACTAATGTTTCTCAACTGAAGGTGATTTTGCCCCCACTCCTCCGGGACATTTGGCAATGTCTGGAGACATTTTTTGTCACAACTAAGGGGTTACTACGGTACTGGATAGCCTCCCAAACACACACAAAATAATTATCTGGTTGAAAATGTCTCAACAGAGGTTGAAAAACATTGATCTAGTCTGACTACGTTTGTTATTTTACTGTTAACTCATTGAGTAATTTTGAGGCTACAGCTCACAGTGTTGAACAGCTGGAGGCGTAGTTGAAACACGTATCACACTTTTAGGGATTGTTTGTCTTTTTGTTATAGAGGTATTGAAATTTCCTCTAAATTTTAGAGATTATTTCCCTGTCAGAAATGTCATTGCCCCAAAAATTTCCCTGTCTTTAGGTTCTCTTTTGGAGAGGTCTTTTGATGCACGTAATTTTCAAGGGGATCTTGGTTGTCTAGTTTTTCTTATGCTGCTTAGGAATTTTTAGTTATGTTTGGTGGAGTATTTTAGTGACTCTGAAGACTTCATGTGGGCCAGAGCTTACCTTATGAAACAGTGAGCAGCAGTGACCAGCCAGCTGTTACTAATCAAAGTAGCTCCGCATCGGTGGACCTGGTCTTGTTGAAGGCTAGCTTGCCAGGGCCATTCCCCTTCCTCAGCAGCAGTGCCCCCTGCTATTTTGTTGCCAGAGTGAGTTATTGTGCGTTGCCCACAACCTGTTCACAATAGAGGTTCATTAATATTGCTTATGTGTGTATTTCAATAGTAAAGAAGCTTCTATTAATTCACATCCTTATTAACTGAGGGAGAGCCCATAGTGTCGGAGAAGTTAGGAATGCCTCACTGCTCACATGACCTCCTCCTCTTTCCCTCCCTCTCACTCACGTGTCCATTCTATGTCTGTATGACCTCTCTATGACCACATGCAAGAGGTAGATGGAATTGAAATATTTGAATTTAGAAGGAAACAAATGTATAACAAGTTGCTGAATCAATGCTAAATTCTAAGTTAAAGGAGTAGTTATAGAGTGATGATTTCTAGGGAAACATTCCTAAGAAAATGTGAACGAAAGTGCATGTGAATGAAATATTGATAGGGAGACCTACTAGACAGAAATGTATTCAGACTCAAACCAAAATAAATAGTATCTGGGTAAAAGGAATGAAACATAAAAATAGTCAGCCATTTTCCAAAGTTACAGACTTCTTTGAATCAGGACTGTGCTTAATGTCTATGTAAATCCAGAGAAGAGAAATTGCTGTTCTCTTAACATTTAGAAGTAAATCTTCACTAATGGTTACTTCATAATTATTCTACCTATCTCTCTGTCTGATTCTCTTGACTGTGTCATCTCTAATCCAGCTAAAACACTGAGCTTTTCCCTTAACAGTTTGTGGTATATTTTACTAGGGATAGTCATCCTCATTAATAAGTATTTTTAGAGAACAGAAACCATATATATTTTTAAAATGTAGCTTCAAAACCTACCATAGAGAATCTTTCATATAGAAGGAGCTCAACAAATAACCTGTAGAAATAAAATCTCTATAGTGTAATCCATGAGATGTCTGGAAATAAAAATGGTGCTTGACTGCAAAGCCCTTTCCTATCATGGGTATATTCTTAGGCATTTAGAGAGGAAAACTTGCAATGATGAATGCACTGAACATAGATTAAAGCAGTAGCTCTCAAGGGAGGTGATTTTTAGCCCTCAGGGAACATTTTTCAAGGTCTGGAAATATTTTTTGGTTATTCCATCTAGGGGGATGCTACTGGTATCTAGTGGATAGAGGCCAGGGTTGCTGTAAACATCCTACAATGCATAGGATAGATCCCCCACCCTAAAAAGCAATTATCTGCCTCCAAATGTCAATGGTGTTAAGAATAAGAGCTCTTGGATCAGAGAAAGATCTATGTACTAAGAATAAGAACATTTAAATAATCGGAAGGTTAAATGGTTAGTTGCTTCACAGAGATATTATTGATTATATGGGAATAGATATATTTGAGATATTCTTTCCTAACAGTGGAAAGACATTGGACCCAAAACTGAGACTCATGTAGACTTTTGTATAGACCTTCACTGTTCCCCTGAAGTCCTTAAGTTTGTGTATTGCTTTTGATTCTAGGTTATTTTCTTGATGCAGCCCAGACCTCAGATTTTTAAGGCATCCTATTCATAAAAATTACTTGCTGAAGTAGAGCCTTGGTGGTTGTTATTTCTGAGGGAGAGAGCTCTCACATTGACTCACAAAATGTAACTCCCTTTTCTTTTCTTCTTTCTTTCCACTCCCTTATCATGGACTCTAGGAGGACAAAACAAATAATACAGAACCCAGAGGACAATTGTTCTTCCCTATCCTCCCTTTTCTGTTTGAGCAACTCTTAAAGGAAGTTGGCTTTTATTCAGCTTCCTTCAGAGGAGTATAAAAACAAAGATGCTTCTTTGTGGATTAGGAAAACCTCACCCAGGAGACTCCACTTCCCTGTTTCAGCTCTTACTCAGAATTCCATTCTAATTCATATCCATGAATCAACTTCCATTCAGAGTTTTCATTAGTCATGATTGTTGTGTCTGTTTTTAGCCACCACCTCTGTATACCTTGTAATTACCACTTATGTGGCACTTTTAGCCTTTGTTAAGTCAAAAGAGGATATATGGTCAATTTCAAGGCTATAAGGAACAACATTGAAGAGCTGCTGGTTGAGAGTTTGAAAAACAAGAGAATTGACCAAGCTTTTACAGCCTCTCTACCCTTTCAAATTTTACTCTGTTGCCTATTATCATACTTTAATACACTTTATGTCAAATACCAAGACTATGTTTATCAACCCTAGAAGATTTCACTTGCTTTCCCCTCCCCTTTTTATTTAAAGTATGATCAAAATCCCAAATAAGCCAAATTAAATTCACAATAGTGTTCCAGGTGAGGGAGAGACAGATTGGCTGATCTCATTCTTACCATGGCTTTTTCCTTGTCTTGACTACTTCTCTTCTACCAATCTGGCAAATTCTCAGTTGTGGATTTTGATTGTATTGCTACTAAAGTTATTAATTGGAATAATTCACTTTTAACATGTTTTAGTGGCGTAGTGCCTAAGGCATTTGACTGCTAACTAGAAGCCTGGCAGTTCAATCCCACCAGCCACTCCTTGGAAGGAAGGTTGGGCAATCTACTTCTGTAGTGATACCGCCTTGGAAACCCAAGGGAAAGGGTTGCTATGAGTGGGATCCGACTCCATGGCAGTGACTTTAGTTTGGTTTTGGTTTATAAAGTTTTTTGAGGACTATCCAATCAAAACATATCAAAGAGTAAAAAAAATCTAATACAACTTTGTGTTTGAGTTTTTCCAAGGTTCTTCAGAGATAGCTATGCTTATGGCTGAAGGAGAGTAAGAGCTGTTGAGGGTGACTGTTTTAAACAGCTGACCCATTTAGTCTCAGTTCCCAGGTACGAGCAGTACTTTTCCTGGCAGACTGCTCGTACCTCATTCTTGTTCCAGTAACCCTGATGATCACTTTTCCCTGGACAGGTAGTTGGAGAATGGAAGCAGATTACCTTGGTCACCAAGGAATCTGCTTGGTTATAGGGCAGCTTACTTCTCAACATATTACATTTGAGTTTTAGGTTCAGAATTTCACAGTGAGTTTCTAGGCATGGAGGTTTCATAGGCAAAACAAAATATACAAATAGCTCACATTTATTGAGCATTTATTATAAGCCTATAGCCATATATTCTTGTAAGTATATTATTTGTATTACCTTATTTCATCTTCAAAAAAAAAAACTTGGAATTGAGGGTTTGAGAAGTTAAATAACTTGTGTAAATTCATTCAGTTAGTAAGTGGCAGATCTGGGACTCAAAATATTATTTATTTTAGATTCTAAGAACTTTATATTTTTTTCCTTAAATTATATATATATATATTTTGTTGAGAATATACACAGCAAAATATACACGAATTCAGTAGTTTCTACATGTACAATTTAGTGACATTAATTTTATTAATTACATTAATTATATTTTATGAGTTGTACAGCCATTCTGAACTTCCTTTTCTGAATTTTTTCCTTCACTCATTAACATATACTCATTGCCCCCTCTGGTTCTTATCTAATCTTTTGAGTTATTAATGTCAATTTGATCTCATATAGATGGTTCTTAAAGAGCATGCTCAAGGCAGACATTTTTTACTGACCTATTCTTTAGTTTTAAGAAGACTGCAAGGGATATATTTGGTTTAAGGTTTAAAGATTATCTCAGGGCAGTAGTTTCAGGGGTCCATCCAGCCTCCACTGCTCCAGAAAGTCTAGAGTCAATGCTAATGTGACATGCTGTTCTGCACTTTTCTCTTTTTGATCAGTATTCTTCTATGTAATCTATGATCAAAACGTTCAGTAATGGTAGCCGGGTACCATCCATTTCTTCTCATCTCATGGCAAAGAAGGCAGTTGTTCATGGAGGCAATTAGCCACACATTCCAGAAGCACTAAACATGTTATTAGGCCAGTTAACTGGGATGCTCTGTGAAACCATGACCCTAAACCTCCAAGCCAAGGAATCAAATTCCGTGCGATGTTTGGTTGTGTATAATTAACCTCAGCAGCCGCTTTTTTCTCCCTACCATTGTTGTATATATATCTATCATAGAACTTTTGCCAGTTCAACTTTTTACAGTCATAAAACTTACTGATAACAATTAAATTGGCTGTGCAATCCTATCCTTAGTGCAATTTTTCTATCACCCCCCCACTCCTGCTCTCCTCTCCCTAGTAACTAGTAATAAAGATTAAATTTTCTTAATCATCATTATTTTTCCCTAGCTCTTCCCTGACCGTGATAGCAAACAATAATGTGTTCATTTTAAGTCCATGACATCAGTCAAGTTAGGAGCAACTTCAGTTGCTTTCCTACAACTTTCTAAAAGCAGAATTCCCATTACACTTCATGGGCAGGGCACCATGTTGATTTTAAAGTTTTACTAGAAAATAATTTCTTTTTGATGTACTTACAGGTATTGAGAAGATTTTCTGCTGCTGCCATTTCAATGTCTAAAATTCAAGGGGAAAGAAAATATAAATATTTAGCATTTGGAGCACATTTTACTTTAATATTAATTAGTATTAATCATGCTATTCAATCTTGATGCATTTCTATTTAAGCATGAACTCACTGCTGTTGAGTGGGATCTGACTTACAGCGACCCCTCCTTGGGTTTCCTAGGCGATATCTCTATGGAAGTATATCGCCCAACCTTCTTTCCCAGGAGTGGCTGGTGGGTTTGAACCACCAGCCTTTTGGTTAGCAGTCAAATGCCTTAGGCACTATGCCACCAGAGTGCCTATAGAGAGTAATAAAACCTATTCATTCTTTGGTTCCTAAGAATAATCTTCAGCCCCTTTTATAAATTATTTGAAAACTAGGTATGGGTTCTGGACAATATTGCAATATATGGAAAATAGTGATCTTCCATCATGTCCTGAGTCCAAGTCATCATCAAATTGAATGTATTTGATACTTTTTATGGTGCATCACTTCAAATCCTCTTAGCTAATCTCTTACCCTAACCACAGCTGTGGTGACTAGTTCTATGCAGATTTGAATCAGCTTTGCCAAGGGATAACTTGACAGACACTCTTCTTAAGTAAGCATCTAAGACTTCTCACTTTCTGACAGAAGAAATCTCCTGGACACTTCCAGATGCACAGCCTATAAATGCTGGAATTAATGATGGTAGGGTCACTGACTAATTGGTAGTTCATAGACAAAAGCTTCCACATTTAGTCGCATGGGAAGACATTTCTGACACAATTTTTAGGTCCCAGGAGATGGAGCCTACCAACAAGAGATGGTTCAACAATTGCCCCTGCTAGTGACCAACTCCCTTTCCCCATTTTACTCTTCCTGTCCCTCACTTTCTCTCAAGCCACCTACCTGTAGGCAAGCCTTTGCCTCAGGCTCTGCTGTTGGGAGAACCCAGTTAAGACACTCAAATAACTACATACCATATTTAGCATTTGGAACACATATTACCAAAGTAACCCATATGGGTTACTATGGGTTTCAATATGGAAACCCATAATAACCCACCAGCCACTCCTTGGAAGGAAGATGGGGCAATCTACTTCCGTAGTGATACTGCCTTGGAAACCCAAGGAGGAGTCACTATGAGTTGGGTCCAACTCGACAGCATGTAACAACAACAACATAGTGAAAAATAGTAATAAATAGGACAGTACAGATGTTGTTGTTGTTGTTGTTGTTAGGTGCCACTGAGTCCGTTCCAATCCACAGTGAACCCATATATAACAGAAAAAAACACTGCCCAGTCCTGTGTCATCCTCAGAATCATTGCTATGTTTGAGGCCATTGTTGCAGCAACTGTGTCAATCTGTCTTCTTGAGGGTCTTCCTTTTTGCTGACCCTCTACCAAGCATGATGCCCTTCTCTAGGAATTTGTCCCTTCTAATAACATGTTCAAACTACATGAGACGAAGTCTTCTCATTCTTGTTTCTACGGAACATTCTAGCTGTACTTCTTCGAGGACAGATTTGTTTGTTCTGGTATTTTTCACCCACACCGTAATTCAAATGCATCAGTTTTTCTTTGGGCTTCTTTATTCACTGTCCGGGTTTTGCATGCATTGAAAACACCATGGCTTGGGTTAGGCACACCTTAGTCTTCAAAGTGACATCTTTGCTTTTTCAGCACTTTAAAGAGGTCTTTTGTGGCAGATTTGCCCAATGTAATAGGTCATTTAATTTCTTGACTACTACTTCTATGGCATAGGTTGTGAATCTAAGTAAAATGAATCCATGACTACTTTAACATTTTCTCCAGTTATGATGCTACTTATTGGTCCAGTTGTGAAGATTTTTGTTTTCTTTATGTTGATGTGTAATCCATATTGAAAGCTGTTGTCTTTGATCTTCATCAGTAAGTGCTTCAAGTCATTCACTTTCAGTAAGCAAGGTTATATCATCTATTGTATTATACGTAGTTAACGAGTCTTCCTCCAATCCTGATACTGCATTGTTCTTTATATCGTCCAGCTTTACAGATTATTTTCTCAGCATACAGACTGAATACGTATGGTGAAAGGATACAGATACTATTATATATAGTGCATTTTTTGTGTGTTGAGTGAATTTTACTATATTTTAATCCTTTTAAAATTAACACTTTAGTGTGGTAAATTTTAATTATTTGAAATGTTCAATTAACCATGCCATCCTATTTCCCATTCATTTTTGATCAAAAAGAATTTACTTTAGTAACAAGGAATATTTTAACATTCAATTAACCATGCCATCCTATTTCCCATTCATTTTTGATCAAAAAGAATTTACTTTAGTAACAAGGAATATTTTAACATTGCCTACATATTCCTGCATAGACAGATCCTTCAAGAGACTATTACAGGATAAGATTATTTACAACAGACAGTTTTGCTATGGGCCCCACCTCCTTGCAGAATCAAAATCCTATTCAATTCTTGTTGGAAATATTTGAGGAGATGTGTCACAATTATCCAACAAATTTGATATGCAGAGAACTGTAAACTCAATGACCTTTTTTCACCTAACAGTTCCTCTTCAAAAAGGAATTAATAGCTGCTTTATAAATTAAATTCTATAAGTGGCATTGTAGGTTCATTTTCTGTAAATTCAAGAGGGAGTATCAATTTCTATATGTCAATTATAGTTAAAAAATATTAAAACATTAACCATTGCCATCAAGTCATTTTGACTTATAGTGACCCTATAGGACAGAGCAGAAAACTACCCAGTAGGGTTTCCAAGGCTGTAATCTTTATCGACTCAGACTGCTGCATCTTTCTCCTGATGAGCGACTGGTGCCAAGCACCTAACTACTGTGCCACCAGAGCTCCTTTTCCACTTTATAGTTAGCATTCTTAAATTAGGTTGCAAAACCGGTTGTTGTTGTTGTTGTTATGTGCTGTCCAGTCGTATCCGACTCACAGTGCCCGTTCCTTGGGTTTCTGAGGCGGTATCACTATGGAAGTAGATTGCCCAACCAGTTAGGGAGACAAAATAATCCTTTATCAGAAAGTAAATCAATCTGTCTGAACAAAAAAGGCAGGAGCGATTCAGGAGTCAGATAGGTAATGAGTTGATATGAGCCATGCCTATTTAAAACAGAAAGTGGGCATACTTCTATCCAATACTTTACAGCTGCCTTCCAGACGTTAATTTTTGTTTTACACCATAACTGTAGAGTTCAGTTTTGAGTTTTATGTGCTTAGTAAAATATATAAAAACATATTAACATTTTAAAAAATAATTGAGCTCTTTTACCTGGACTAGAAAGGTTATTATTATTATTGTCCTTTTCCAAAATATTCCATCACCATTCTCATAAACTCATTGGCCCACAAACAAAAGCTTCCCCTTTACCCCTTCTGTCTTACCCCTGGTGTGTTAGATTGGGTTCTCTAGAGAAACACAAAAACCAGAAAAGTGTATATATATATATATATATATAGAGAGAGAGAGAGAGAGAGAGAAATTTATCTTAGGAAAATGGCTCACAAGCGTATAGAAGCCGACAAGTCCAAGTCGAAAAGTCCAAGTCTCTGGAGGAGGTGGGGCTTGCGGCCGCCTTGGCTTCCGCAAGCACAGGGGAGCCGAGAGATTCAAGCTGGCATGCAGTACACTGGTTGTTGACTCCAACAAAAGACGAATCCGAGATCTCCAGGCCAAGTGGTGGGCCGTTCACTCACGGAAGTCTGTAGTTCGCACACCAGGGTTCCAACCCCTCAAGGAATGCGGCTCTTCCCCGGATGTCCTTGGATATCTTGGAAGCAGGCCACACCCCTAGGGAAACTCCCCTTGGGCAGACTGGCCACTCAGAACACAGTCATCTGATCCCATCATGGGAACAACCACACAGAACTGGGGTCCAGCCAAGTTGACACACAGCTCCAACTATCACACCTGGTAACCACTAATAATCTTTGGTTTCTATGTATATATTTTTCAACCTGTCTAAGAATTTGCCCTTCCCTCCCCTCCCATCCCTGTTTACCAACAAAGAAATTTTTCTTCTATATATAAACCTTTCCTTGACTTTTTATAATAATGGACTAATACAGTATTTGTCCTCTTATTGACTTATTTCACTCAGCATAATGTCCTCCAAGTTCATCAATGTTATGCAGTGTTTTGCAGATTCTATGTTATTCTTTAGGGTTGCATAGTATTCCACTGTATGCATGTACACAGTTTGTTTATCCATTCCTTGGTTTATGGGCACTTAGGTTGTTTCCATCTCTTTGCTATTGTGAATAGTACTGCAATGAACATGGGTGTGCACATATTTCTTCACGTCCTGCCTCTCACTTCTTTAGGATATATACCTAGTAATGGTATTGCTGGAGCAGATGCTATTTCTATTTCCAACTTGTTAAGGAATCACTATACCGATTTCCACAGTGGTTGTATCATTTTACAGTCCCACCAGCAGTGTATGACAGTCCCAATCTCTCCATATCCTTGCCAGCATTTGTTATTTTCTGTCTTCTTGAACTTTGCTATTAGTGTTGGGACAAGATAGTATCTCATGGTTGTTTTGATTTGCATCTCTCTAATGATTAATGATTGTAAACATTTCTTCATGTGTTTGTTGCCTGCCTGAATATCTTCAGTGAAGTGTCTGTTCATATCTTCTGCCCATTTTTTAATTGGATTGTTTATCTTTTTGATGTTGAGGTGGTGGAGTTTTCTATAAATTCTATAAATTTTGTCAGATATGTCATTGCTGAATATTTTTTTTCCATTCTGTAGGTTCTCTTTTTACTCTTTTTGGAGAAGTCTTTTGATGCACATAAAAATTGCATTTTCAGAAGGTCCCAATCATGTGCTTTATCTTCTGCTGTTTGTGTATCTTGGGTTATGCTTGATAGCTTATTTATACCAAAAATTAGGGTCCTAAGTTTGCCCCTATCTTTTCTTTGATGAACTTTATAGTTTTCGGTTTCACTTTTAAGGCTTTGATCCATCTGGAGTTAGTTTTTGTGTATGATGTGAG